CTGATTATTTTTTTAACTTTAAAAAAAAAACTTTGATGTATAATATAATACTACTAATTTCGTATGACTATATCCAATCTCTCACTGTTGTATGTTCATGCGTAGCAATGACACATGCATGTCAACATCGGAAAAGCATTTGCCTATAATCTCTATACTTAATCCGAAAAGTAACTCTTTCACGGCTTTTTAGCATAAATTTATCGATTGTATGATAACAAAAACGAAAGCACTATAATATTCTTCAACTTTCCAACGAATAAATCTGAAATTTTTATAGTTTATTTTGTAGTTTTTTTTTTGTGTGTATATCGGAGCGTGAATGTATTTTCCACTCTCTTAACACTTTTATTAGCCTCAAAATTATCTTTTTTTTTTTAAATTTACCTTTTTCGGTACACATAATCTTTTCTTTTTTTAATGTACTATACTGTATGTTAAAATGCGTCTTGGTTTTACAATCCCGTAACATTCCCAAAGTGATGATAGTGTTAAATTTTTGTATTTTTGGTTTAGCATGAAATTGTCAAAAGATTCTTCTGATTTATTATTTGTAAAAAATTAGATTAAGTAGAATCTCAATCCATGAATCGCGCGAGACACTCCACATGCGACTTGTGACTTGTGGCTTGTGAGGTATATAGAGTTATTGGAATCCTATGTTTTTAGGATATACTGTATTACTAAATATTTAAGTTGTATATTAATTTTTTTTTTAATGACCGAAAATTTAAACCGAAGTTCATACATATATGGAACATGTGAAAATTAAGACATTTTACTATTTAAAATATTAATAGTGGCAATCGTGATCAACATTGTAGTGGAAAAATTTTAATTACATTTCAATAATTTATTGGATGAGTCATTTAACCACTAAAATTGCATCAATACATGATCAAGGGTTTGTTACTCTTCCAATCATTCATTAAAACGGTTGGACTTGTGATTGGAGTTGTTTGATAATTGGTTGAACATTCGCTAAACTAATATTATACTTTATCTAGGGTATTAATATTTGTTTTTATTTCCTAGTAACGTGATTGAACATAACGCTTTAGTTTGAATGGGATCAATAATCACTACCCGTTTGTCGTGTAACATAACATTATAATAAATATCAGGAGGAGATCCGATTTAAGGAATCTATTATAGTATATGCTCCGATCGTCCGTAACATAAACGACAATTTACAAAGGTCAGGATAATTTGAGAAATTATTTTTGTAAGAAACAAAAACCTTTGCTCGTGAGAGGATGATGAATGTATACACCATTATCTACATGAAAAGCAAATGCTATGTATATATGAGGTTTTCAGTTGAAGATGATCCAGAATATCATATTTTGTTCGTAAATCTGACTGGAATAATCCCAACGAAAATCTATATAGGACATGTACAAACAATGACCTCATCATGATCAATGTTGCAAGGTTCAACTTTTGTTTACATCAACTTTTGTTATATTATATACAGATTTTACTGCGTGAAAAATATTCACAAAGCGATGTTTTAAAATAAAAAAAGTCTCATACGGCGTCAAAAAAAAGAGTGATATAGATAATTTTATTGTTCGTCAAAATTGTGTGTACTTCCTCAAGTCAAAATTGTGTGTACCTCCATGATCTAAAACAAGTATTACCCAGAAATTTAAATTTCAAAATTTAGGAATCGTTGGTATTTCTCTTATGTCTCCCTTTATTCCCTTCACTCTGTTTTCCAAAAAAAAAAAAAAAGAGAGAGTGTAACTTGACCAAGTTTGTTTGTTTTGTTAATTAAACGCAAATTTAAAGTGATTTGGGATTAGTGCATGTTAGTAGTTCGTACTAGTTTAAAGTGATTTTGTGTATTACTTTGTTGACTGAACAAAACACTATAAATTCTCATTACAATTATTTGAAAAACAACAATGTGTGAAGGTTGCGTCACCTTCATATTACTTTTGATTAGAAAAATAATTTCGAAAATCGCATTAAATAGTGACTAATTATTGGAGTCCACATGGTTAAAGATCCCATAATTTGGCGATCCCGGTGCGTTGTACTTGGAAGAGCCGTTACTACTTAATTTAATCTCATGCATCTATCAAGATCTGAATGTACTGCGAGTTTAATTACAGCGCAAAAAAGAAAAGAAAACTTTAACAAATTTTTTTTTTAACTAAAATGAATAATATCGTTTGATCCTCATCTTGGAAATAAATTGATCTGTAAATTAATCGATGCACATTTTCAAATGCATTGACACTTGGTATATGTTTCTAGACACGTGGTTTACCCATAAATTAAGAAATTCAATATTCATGTTGGATAATTAATGTAAAGTTATCCGTAAGGAAAAATAAACTGGTATAGCCATTAGCCACATGGAAAAAAATATCTGACCAAAAATTTAGAGGTATTTATATTTACAAAATCTATTCGTCTTGTTTCCAACTTGGGGACAAATACGTTTTTTTCCTCTTACAAGTTATATAACATGCAACAAGTACATTTTTGCATATTTAATTTTTTTTTTATCTTAAATCAGATATAACCTATATATTATATAAATATTTTGTTTTTCTAAAAAAAAAACATATTCAACATAAATTAATTTTTCTCCCATGATAACCAAAATTCGGATTAAACTTCAAAATTTGTTAAAAGATCAAATATTTTTGATATATGTTTATATTATAGTGGTAAGAAAAGAACCATAGGAACTTTTATAAATGGTAGAATTTTATCTTTGAATTTGATCGAAGAAAAATGTGTAACATATATAAAATTATAGACGATAAGAAAATCAGTTAAAAATATTAGTCACAATTATGCATCTTTCCACTTTATAATTGTTAAAACTTGAAACAATCATTCTTATCCATATAAAAAGGTTGCCCATCTGCTCACCCACGTTCAACCTCTTGACGAACCATGCAACTTTTCCTGTCATCGCTAATTGTTAATTGTCTAATTAATGTGGATATATAGAAAATCTATGGCTAATGACAACAGAAGAATCCATCACCTAGTCAGTTTTTTATAATAATTTGCAACGGAGTATATTTAGAGTCGTATAACAACGGTAAATATATTTAGCACTATTTTGGTTTTTTTTGTAGTGAATAAAAACCATACAAGTCTTGTATTTGGGCAATCATGGTTTGTTGGATAAGAATTATGTTGGTAAGATTCATTTTACTTGTTGATTCAAGCTAAAAACACTTTTAAGAAATGTTTTCAGCAAACCGAAGTGTGCCTTATGCGAGTCACAATAACTTTGGGTCGATAAAGTAATCAGTAGAAAGGTCAAGGCCCAAATAATTAAGCTTAATGGACTTTTTAGAGTTAGTTCTATTAGAACGTAAATTATTTTTCTTTAACATGATTCAAATTCAGATCAGAAAATGCTTAATTTACATTCTTCTAATAGGTGACCTACCTAAACTTCACTCACATAATGATTATATCATGCATATTTTTCGAATATTATGCATTTTTATATAGCAATAGTACGAGATATTGAAAAAAAAAACATACAAAAATATATTGTTGAAAAGTCAAAAATATGGAAGCATGTAAGGAAAGCACAATTGCTTAAAGAAACAACTTAGCATGCACTTGTCGAGTGAGCTTCTTCTTTTTTGTAGTTGAAAATATG